AACTTGTTTTATGCATTTATAATCCGAAACAGGAACCTAATAACATATACGACGTGGGGAAGGTTGGTTTTACCGAAGGGCTTTTCAAGACTAGTACCTTTGCTGAATACCTGAAACCATGGACAGACAATCTTTGATAATGCAATAACGATTTTGATGATTCCTAATTTAGACTTTTCTCGACCTGACAAATGTCTCCCGATTTGACTAATGGACATGAACTATTTTAAAGACGTGAACTATTTTAAGAAGAATAAAGAAGTATAAGAATGGAGAGCATGAAGGAAGACGGCTTAAAGAAGACGGTATTTAAGAAGACGCATTCAAAAGACGTATCCAGATGATGTTTAAAAAGACGTAAATACGAAGACGAATCCAGACGAATTGCTCTATACAGCATCAAAGGCAAACGTGTTTGGGAAATACATGTATTCAGATAGACTGTTCACGATGAACGAACACTGAAAGAGCATTGAAGAAGAGCTAAAGCGCTATTTCTGAAGACGTTAAGATGGTGAGGGAAGATGGCTTAAATAAACCATTTAAGACTTTTCCCTCAATACTAATTATTATTTTTTTTTTATTTTACTTTTCAGATCCCTACATGTGGATGGTGGTCCTACGAGAATGTGAGGCCGCATTCTATCAGGATGGAACGAGCAGTTATGAAATGTGTCATCGAGCAGATATGGCGCCAAGCCGTAGAGAAAGGACTTTGGGATCCCGAGTGCTACGAGAGAGTGAACTGCGCAATCATTCTCAGTAAGAGCATAACGAGTATATTAAGTTAGTGATAGCATCATGACGATGATGGCATTTTAAGACGTGTATATATAAAGGACATCATTATGTATCCAGCTGTAAATAACCTCATCCATTTCCTGTCACATATGTAATCACATTGTAGTTTGTAGCAGCTATTCGTGCTTCCATTAAATATTTAAATATTCGAGGTTTCCATAAATTGCATTCGTCATTTCAAGCCCCTAGACAGTAAGTTCACATTCATCATATTTCTGGATAGAACAAAGCTTCCTACATATATATATTTATTTATATATTTATATTATATATATATATATATACTTTTGTTGCTGCCAATTGCAAGCAAAATACGAGGTGAACATATACATGTTATAGCAGTCCTATATATAAAATTTCAGAGTTCTGAAGCTACTCGTTTCTGAGTTATGCTTGATACGTACATACGCAGACGCCACGAAAAGTTCTCTTCAGGATTCATTTCAAATCAGTTTTATAATTTTTTGGAGAGAAAAGAGTCCTTTATTCTGTCCTCGCGTACATATATCACACAAAAACATCGGTAAATTGCATACGATAACTGTAAAAATAGATATTTTTCGTTGAAATATGATGCCTGAAATTTTTCGCGATTACAATTCTTTTTTTTTACTTCGTACAAGCAAGTAAAAAGGCTTTCTTTCTCCTATATTAATTTGATAATAGAGTTATTTTATTATTCATTTCGCATAAGGTATAATATGTAAATATCAAAAATTCAAACCACTATCATTTCGCCTGTTATTTATTTAAAATTTCACATTGTTCTATATCTTAAAATTAGAAACTAAAGTTAATGGCCTAAAACTGCAATAGTACATTGCAATGCAAGTGAAAAACTGACAGTTTCACGGACGCGTTTGTCGGATTTGTGCAATGCTTATAAGGTCCCATAAAATTTTCGTAAATATTATGGGGTCCTGGGGGTCGCGAAAAAATGTCAGTGATAAAAAGGGGTCTTGATTAAAAAAACATGGTTTAAATCATATAAAGGGGAAAATATACATTAAAAATAAAAACTAAGTTTTGAACTAGTCGTTTAATAAGAATTCAATTCAGAATTCACTGACTTATCGCAAAGCACATAACGGCTACAGGTTCATAAATAAGAATATCTTCGTATGGGAATTTTCAACGGAAATTTGTTCGTATTCACCTTATCCATAAGGAAATCCACATTTTCCGTTTCATTACTCAGGTGAGATTTGAATCTGCCTCAAGCTCTCAGTTTGTCTTGGTCACTGATGGGTTTCGAAAAATAATGAAAACGTCATAGAAGTAAATGATACTGTAATTTTAACACGTAAGTGTTTTTAAAAACTCAAATTAGGTTAAAAATGTTTGTTATTATGAAACATTTCCTGTCGATACATAAGTAAAGTTACGTTGAAAGTTTTAAAAATTCTGTTTCTGAATATTATCATTGGCATTAGCCGTCACCGAAATTTTATTTTAGAGAATGGTAATATATTTTTTGGAATGCATACCAAAATAAATTTTTTAAACAATTTACAGAGATCTCTTATTCCTCTATTTTTAGTAGTTTTTCAAGGATTATAGAACTTATCGAGAACAAAAAAATTTTATTTGCAAATTTCAGTAACTAATCAAAATTTTTTATGATCGGACCTAAGCATACATTCCCAGTCCAATATATGTGCAGACAATGAATCGAGATCACTTGATTTTATCAAAAACTATACATTTGCCTCCGAATAACAGAACATAAAGATTATTTGTTAAAACTGATATGATTATGTAACATATTCTATGTTTGTTTTAGATTAACACACACTTTTTAAATCTTATTTTTATTAACTAGTTAAGTATGGAGTAAATATAGCATCATCTTGTAGGGTTTAGTATATCTTTTGCAAGCATCCAAAATGTGGAAACTCTTGGTAGACGTTAAGCGAGTTATCGCGAAGTCTAAAGTAACAGCTGAAATTTGCGAAGGGTGTACAAGACCGTTTATTTAAAATTAAATAAGAACCGGAGGTACATTTTGCTCTTACAACAGCCAACCACTTGTGGCGAAATAACTTAAACTACAAAAAGTTCAAATGGAAAATTTAAATTCAAATAAACTATTAGCCGGAAGCTATCAGCAATTATAGTGCAAGACCGAAGGCCGCAAATCTTATGTGATGTAGCAGTCCTAGTAACGTGGTCTCAAGAAGCAGAACATGCTCTGTCTCACAATCTAAAAACCTCACTTTAAATAAACGCGAACTAAATTTTCATTCTGGGAAAAAAACAGTAGGAAGAAGTGACAGTAAAGATCCAAAGCATAAAATAAGTGGTTTATTAAAATAAAGGAAAGTTACAATTTATTTTAAAATGATGTGTTGCTAATTGGAAATTTAGCAAAACACAATTATGTACAATGTAATATTATCCAAGATCGTTTAAAATAAGACAAGCATGCTCATAAAAGCATATAATTTAAATTAAATTTTATTCAGCATAGTTTTATTTCTAAATAAAATTTGAACTTTATTTTTCTTCCAATGAACGTTATTCGTTAAGTACTGCGAACATTAAAAATGCAGTATCTGAAAAACGTTTTCATTTGTAAATAACTTTTTACGAAAACTTAAAGGTGGTTTACTTATCGTGGTTTTTAGTAAACTTTCGTGTAAATTCAAAAGTTAACTTTTTACTGCAAAAATTACTTTTCAGGATAGACCTAACTAAACAGCGTATGTTTTACTTCACAATGTTCACATCTTTGCTTTGCAGAAAAACTTATCAAGCATATTTTGATAAATGCAATTAAATTTAACATTACGCATGCATATAATGTAAATATTATTGGTACACTGGGAAAACAAAGGGGGGAACACTTTTATATCTTTTGTTCTACTGGGCCGATTGACAGAGTTCAAACTGCATTTTTCATGTCTGGAAAACTCGTCTTAGGATATATAGTATATATATATCGGTTATAACATAGGCCTTTTCGGAAATAACATAACATTTTCCCCATATTTCGATTCTACGACTCAAATTATGCCCAGATATTAAATTTTGTGAAATTTGGTGCGAAATTTAGGGAGAAACTCTAAAATTTATCTTGACGAAATTTTTTCAGTTTGTCCAACAATACTTCACTTGGGGAACTTGTTAATATATGGCAACCAATTTCCTTCCCTTCCATTTTGCCGTAGCGGAAAAAACATCACCTCGTTCCTACCTTTTCACATTGTGTATGAGCGGAAAAAAAGACACATCGTTTCTACTTCCAAATAGTTTTAGCAAAGTGTTTAAAACACATCTGATGTTTTATCGCTTTCAACAAATACGCCAAATTTCAAAACGCGCTAATACATAAATTCGCGTATATATTCGGAAATTTCGAATAAAAAATTGTAATTTTTTGAAGGTCTGCTTAAAAAATCGTCTACTTTAAGATGATGGTAAAACTTTTATAGCTTATAATTCAAACTATTTTGAAAAATATATAAAACATATTTAAAAATGCAAATTTTAAAAATAAATCATAAAAAAATGAGTGAATGTTATTTGGAAGGAACCTAGATTTCGAAATGTGAAACCAAGAATGAAATAAGCTTAATAAAAAAAAGAGAGATTAGTCAATATATACCAAACTCAATTAATATTGAGGAGCTAAAATTTTGAGAGCTAATTTTTTAAAAACTACTCGTGCGATTTTTACAAATCTTGGTAGTTTGGCGTAATTTGAGTCGTTGAATTGAAAAATAGAAAAGAAATTGGTATGTTATTTCAGAAAAAGTCCGATTTTAGGTCAAAATACCGATAACAGTGTTATAATCTAATACATATCCTAAGTCGCACTTTCCAGATATGAAAAACTCAAGTTGAATTTCGTCAATCGGCCCAGAGTAGAACTGGAGATATAGAACTTTTTTCCCCGCAGTGTACATGTAATACTTCCCAAATTTTATCCAAATTTCATTTTTTAGTTCTTCGAGAAAGAGAATGTCGATTATCTGATACATTTTTTTATCACATTCGAATATTATCAGAGTTATCATTCTTAAATTTATCATTTCTTTTCTTCGTTATATATATATATATATATATATATGCTTCTCCTTTTATAATATTTATACAAAAGAATTTTCTAAGTTTCTAGAACATTTAATAAAAGTTTAATAACGATAAAAAGTAAAAATCCATAAGTTAGTAAAAGATCGGTAATCAATATAACTTACTTTTCATTTGCAGATGCTGATGCCATATCTGGAAAGAAAAAAAAAATAGAATGTCATTATTTTGAAATGCTGATTAACACTATCAAAGTTGTATTCCTACTTTGTAACGCAGTTAAGATTAAGTAAAAGTACATTAGCATGAAACGTCGCAACATATTATGAGGAATAAAATTCATATCATATTTTTCGGAAAGAAAATGGAATGTCATTATTTTGAAATGCTGATTAATACTATCAAAGTTGTATTCCTACTTTGTAACGCAGTTAAGATTAAGTAAAAGTACATGAGCATGAAACGTCGCAACATATTATGAGGAATAAAATTCATATCATATTTTTCGGAAAGAAAATGGAATGTCATTATTTTGAAATGCTGATTAATACTATCAAAGTTGTATTCCTACTTTGTAATGCAGTTAAGATTAAGTAAAAGTACATTAGCATGAAACGTCGCAACATATTATGAGGAATAAAATTCATATCATAGTTTTCGGAAAGAAAATGGAATGTCATTATTTTGAAATGCTGATTAATACTATCAAAGTTGTATTCCTATTTTGTAACGCAGTTAAGATTAAGTAAAAGTACATTAGCATGAAACGTCGCAACATATTATGAGGAATAAAATTCATATAATAGTTTTCGTGTAGTAATGCGGAGCATACGTTAACCAATATTGCAACTATAGATGGTTATTAATGCAATTCAACTTCTTATAAGTAGCCTTCTGAACAATTTTTAATGTCCTTTTTAAAACTAAAGTTGTACGCATACGCGTGACATCTGTGCCCATAAATAATCACGGGAAGCAAAAATTATCAGTATTTGAAAACACCGTTTTTGTGAAATAATTATACTTCTACATTTTAAGTATTACATAAAAAAAGTAAAGGCTTGGGGAATCCTAGAAAAATTAACATAAATTATTTCCTACAATAATTAAATTTACTGAGCGATATTTACCTGCGACAAAAAATATATATTCGATCTTTTGTAACTTGCTCTTCGAGTAATACACAATAGCATCAAATAACAATTGTGATTGGATAATGAAAACGTGATTCTATCATAAAATAGAAATTTAGATTGCAAAAAGGCAACAAGGCAACTACAAGTCTACTAAATATTTGCATGGTGTAATGTGAACCTAATGATGCATGTTTACTTATTTCTTTAATTGTATGTATATATACACACAATTAAAGATGATTCTTGATATATATATATATATATATATATATATATATACATATTTAAATTCTTAACAAATACGTATAAAAGTAAAAAAGTAAAAGAGCAAATTTAAATTCTAAAAAAGGAAAAAAGCCAAAATAATTTAAAATAATTTAAAAATATGCAAACATGTAAAAGATTTAATTCTCGAACTAATCTACAATATCATTTAAATTCAGAAGCATAAGCAAATCAAGTGCAAAATTATAATCAGTGCAAAATCTATCCATGAAAATAAATCTACTAATTTAATAAATTAAAATTAAATTAAACAATTTTTTTAAAAAATGCATATGTGAATGATCGTAGAGTAGGCAGGAGACAGACTTATCAAGGGGAAGTTGCCTCCAAACCTAACTCTCCAATCATTCAATTCGTGTTTCGTCATTCATGCACGCAAGGGTAAAAGTCAAAACCAAAAGTAATTCCAATAAAGTGGTACCCTTAGAAATTAACATTTAAGTATTAACATTTAAGAATTAAAGTTCAAAAAGGAAAATACTAATTAAGTCTTTTGAGAAAACAAGCAAGTAAATTCAAGAATTAAACTTTTTCTTAAAAAATTAAATTTTTTAAAAAGTAATTTTTTATAAAATAATAAAAAATCTAGAAACCGATGTATTTTAGAAATCCTTGTCTACAGAAACTTCCCCTACACGAATATGCATATCAATAAAAAAAACTATAAAAGAACTATACATAATCCATATAAACCAAGAAATAAAAACAAAAAGAAACAAAAAGAACTAATTCACAATTTTTAAAAAAATATATATTTAAAAATATAATTTCATATTTAGAAAATACTTAGATACTACATAAAAAATTTTGAAAAAAATACTTAAAGCAAGTAAATAATAAGTTTTAATTCTAACTTACCTACTATATGAGTGTTGGGGTCTGCAAAAGTGTTGTGAAAGAGAAGTAAGTGTGTTCTTCAAATTATATAGATGGCGCTTATGTAATATCTTTTATGTAATATCAATTTGTAGTAATATCAATTATTTAGGGAGTACATACAATTTAGGGAGTAATATCAATTATTTAGGGTGTACATACATACATATGTAAGATAAAAAATATGTAAATCAGCTTTATAAGTAATATATATGTAATAAAATATTTATAATATATATGTAATCAAAATTAAAAATATGTAAAAGATAAACTGTAATTTAAATTAGCAGCGCAAATTCATTTCCCTTTTCTATTCTGAAAAATAGTAATCTCTTTTAGCATTGCGTCATTTCGAAATTAATCCACATCATATGACCTTTACGTAATTCTGATGATGTAAATGGAATTAAAACTGACGCAGCTAATACGAATTTTACAATAGTATTAATTATACAAGAAAAATGCATTGAGAACCAAAGCTAGCTTTGCCTAAATTATTCATCCTGAACATAACGCACTCGCTCGGTACTCCTCGGCCTAGTTGGACTGCTGTTTGATGCTCCCTTCTTACTGCAAAGTTATAAAAAATGTAAACGTCATGAAATATTATGTTTCAACTTGGCACAAACTCAATTTGGTTCAACTGACACAAATTGGAAATATTCAACTTGGCACAAATAATGTGCCCAGTTGCTTGTGGGTGCAACATGTTTACTGAAATAAAATAAAGTCTATCAAACTCAGCTTCCAGTTTCCTATTCATTACGGATTAGCATTCTACGCCAACAAAATTCTTGCTTTTACAGATTCAACCTTCTACGCTCTACACCATCAATATATCTTCATACACATATACTTTTTTTCAATAAAAAAGGGAAATGCACGACTATATTTGCAGTAGTCCCATAACAAATTCCAACGTTACATTCTTTTTGTTACTTATGCTCACTTGTCTGTAGTCAGCCCAAGCCCAAGAAATTTCTCTTGGCAAGGAGCACAAGATACGCCTGTCGTTGGCAACAACCTTGAACCCCTTACAGGTGACAGATTTATTTAGCTCAATTCCGCTCTCAAGTTTGATGGACAGCACTTTGGGGGGAAGGGTCCGAGGGTCTCCTACCTGTCTCTCCTTCCACCAATCCACACCAGAGAACTTTCGGATCGCCGCATATTTAGAGTGCCGCACCGACAATATACGTTTACAAACATCCATGCCTTCTTCGGTTTTCGAATCCGAGCCCTTCGGCTCAGCAATCAGCGACACTAACCACTATATCGGTTGGGGAGCATTCCAACGTTCTACGGGGCTAATCATTTTTGAACTACGGGAGATATTTACGCAAGTATGTACATACAAACGTCATGAAAATATGCATTTGAATCCTTTTTACATTGTGTTTTGTAAAAAAAGAGTCCTTTATTCTGTCTGTACGTAAAGACATTACGAAAAATAAAAAGTCAAAATGTATATTTCCTTTGAAATATGATACCCGGCATTTTTCGCGTTTACACTACTTCCTTTATATCGAAAGGAAAAAAAAATATCTTGAAAATCGTGTTATTGATTTACAACAATTTCATTAAAATACTCAGTCTAAGGATCTATATATTCATAAGCTCGGTATATTCAACCCAGGAAAATATTATTATTCCATTTCTGAAAAATTTTGACCTTAGTGTAAATGGAGTTATCTGTCTTCTAAATCTTTCAAAAAGAAAATCCGATGAAAACATTTTATTATCATTTAATGTAAAAATCAAATTTCAGTCCAATCATATCTCATGTTTATATATATAGATATGGATATAGATATAGATATGCACTCTCATCTGTCACCCCAACATTAAAATATCCTTATAAGCTTAAAACTGGAGGCATATTCTTGATGTCATAAAGCAATTAACACAGCTAAAACGGTCATTATTTACCTAAAAAATTCTTAGGCAGTAATTTTTTATCACTCATCATGTTTCCAAATATTTTTATGAGGAGAATGCCGAATAAAATAATTAAAATTTTGTTATTAGTACCATAAAAAATCTCTCATCATCATTTACATATCCGTGTGTTTACATCATTATCATTACTAAAGATTGTTTGTAAAAGCGGTGTATCAACTAACAATTTTTTTTTCTGAAGAAACTTTTGATTTAAATTTTTTAAGAAAAATATTCTTGTTTTCTTAAATATTAATTTTCTTCCCTTAAGAAAACTAGCGACAAAGTATAAACTTTGCTCGGAGACTTTAATAATTATGATCCATTAATCTTTTTTAATAAATCATGTAGTTGGTTCAACACGATATTTTTTATGTTGCTGTTAAAAATATTAAAAAATCTCACAGTGCTGTATATAATAAACGAACGAAACAATTTGTTTAGATTGCTACAAATGAAATAACTTCAATAATAATTTAAGAGCTTTGCTTTTTCTTTCCAAAGACATTTTTTATTGTTTTGGCTTGGCTCAGCTTATTACGGCAAAGCACACTAGGACTATCTGCCTAAGGGGAGAGATAGCCTTCGTGAAATATTTTGTACGGGAAACTGACTCGTATACATGTTACACCCAGGAAAAACTTCAAAACTCCCAAGCAGCCAGCCGGTTCGCCTGGATTCGAATCCAGTTCAGAACAACCAGTGTTCAGCAATTTGATGGCTCGGCCGCTGTTAGATCTAAACATTTTTGAGGCGTCAAGGCATAAGGTTTACTGAAATCTACATTTTTCTTAGGTACTGAGGAATACCCTTAATCAATATATTTCCGAAATTTACCTAATACGATCTGAAACTGATTTTTTTCCGAATAAAACAGCAATGTGTAAAAATCTAAAATTTAATATTTGGGGTAAGCATAGTATTACTAATAATCATTGTTATAATAAATAACAAATTATA